TCATTTCTGCTGACGACGATAAAACAGTTCTACATGCTACGAATACCGATCTAGCTATGATAACGAGGGATTCGTTCAGCTAATGATTCGACTATGACAGACAATTAAGCCTGTGACTCATGCAGCGGAGAACAATCGGTCGCCTCATCTTTTGTTGCTTACTACAAATCAATTGCTGTTAACAGACGGCGATAACATCGCCGACGATTAATAAGATCTACTATCAAACCAATAATTGCTAAGTTGTTAAGTAAGCTGACAGCTAGAGATACAATTTTCGTCTGAAACATTTTCCGCAAGCAGGAAGAAAAAAGATTTTGCAATAAACAATTTTATTTATTAATTGATTACTGACGTTAGCGAAAAGATTTTTATACANAAAAAATAGTGTACTTTTCTTCTAACTTCGATATTTAACGAGTTAAAAAGAGTATTTCGTTTGGCAGTCAAGGTGTTAATGACAAAACTTCGAATTGACTGAACACTTTTTCGAGTCATTAGCAGGCTCTCGCGACATCATCTCATGATTAAGGTGCCCGCGGTGTCTCGAACGGTCGTCATTCATATCGATTAGACCCGTGGGCGCGAGTCCGTTCCTAGAACGTTACAGCAGCGCACTATCAATGACGATCGCGGTCGGTCTACGACTTATGGTCTCCCATGTTCAATGCCAGCGACTAGCGGTGGCAGACAGCCTGGCTGCCGGGCGATCCCTTTCTCGGAACCGCGATTCGTATGGGGATCACACACCGAGTCCCCCGTTTCACCTTTTAACGCACACGCGTGTACGCCACCCTCCGCATTTTTTCTCGTTTCTCTTTCACCACTCTATATCGTCGGTATCTCTCTAGACGGTTAAAAATACTCGCGAGACGGACGGGAGGTTCACGGTTGGCTGCCACGGAAATCGACTCGCGAATATTTTATTCCGACCGACCGTGGCGGAACGGTTTTAAAAAGTTTATTAGCCGCGGGTCGGCCTTGATTCGCGCCGGATTCCAATTTCGATTGGGTATCCGCTGACGTCAAGCACGGTTATAAATCGGGAGAGCGGTTTTGCCAACAGCGATTCGACGCGAATGTCGCTTAAAAGACAACGTTTTGGCAGGGGCTTGGGCTAAATTGGAATCGCGACCACACCGCGATAGACCGGAGTTCCTGTTCGTTTTTGCAGGAACCGAAACGGTGCGGTGGCTAACGCGAAAACGCGTGACCCAGATTTCCATAATGCAAATGATAGGCTCCGCGGGAGATCTAACCGGACCACCGGACTAGGACTGCTGGGTGGTCCGGGCCCTGGATATTTAATAACAGGAGGTGCACAGGCCCAAGTGCGGCAATGATTCTTCGGGCAACGTAAGCTGCGTTTAAGGGCGCTTAAACTGTTTCTTCCCTGTCTTTTTGCGGCCAACCCTTGCGGCCCGGAGAGGTTTACACCTCCGTTCCGAAACAATTTGTTACCCTGTTCGTTGCCCGCTCAACTCCCAATACGTACAGTACTGTGTAAAAGTTTTCACCTGTTCATATTATTTTAATCGTACGATTATAATTTTAGATATTATTATTGTACAATTACATTAAATAAAAATAAATTGCTAATTATTATATTCATTATAACAGATAAAAAATCAGTACAAGTACTGCGTAAAAATTTATACTGTTAGTATTATTAGTTCTGCAAATATTTATTCACATTTCTAGATATTAGAAAAAATTCGTGTAAGACTTTTGCACAGTACTGTATTTCAGCTTGCCTCTGAATTTTTACTGCCAGTTGAGGTCGGATCCAGAGATAAAATCGGTTTACGCAGCTGTAAATTCCGCAGACATTTACGGTAAATTCATAGCCCTCGTTCAGAATAATTAACACGTACATAGTGTAACGACTGTGCGCTGTTCGATCCGCTTATCACAGTGAATACTGTGAAATACTGGTAGGAAAATCGTCCAGCTGTCGAGAGATCGGAACGAGCGTAGTAATTGTTTCGCGCAGTCGTGTCGTGACTTTTTACCCGGCGTAGGAGACACGCGTCCGATATTTTATAGCGGCGCGAAGACAATGCGCGATAATGCAGTTAACGACTCGCGCCCGCACCCAGCAACGCGCATACAAACGAGCCGGCGATCTCTCCGCACGATCTACAGAGAATTTTCCATTAAAACCATTTGCGAAATTTTCTATTTCACTGTTTTAACCGATCGTTAAATCAGAATTTCCCACGACCAATCGGAAAACAGAATATATATTCCCCGCCCTCGGGCGAAGTCGATTAATCATCCATGGACACTGGGAGAGTCATGTGTGGTCTAGTTTATGGCAGTAAAACCCAGCTACGAGCTGGTCGCCGACTATCTGGCGAACAACCATTTCAGCAGAACAATAGATAATTTCTCGTTCCAGTAAATAATGATAATAATTTTGGTAAAATATGACGTTGTTCCGTACGAAGTGTACTAAAGAGTCAAAGAATAAACAGCGTGTCGACGACTTTTTATCACCGATTTTCATGAGTAATGAATTGACCCTTGATGTTCAACGCGTCGTAAAACACGGATTCCCCGAAATTGATTCCGCTGTTTTATCTCCATCGTTTGTACCATATTGAATTTAATTGCTCATCGAGTGCGGACAGTAATCTAATCACAGGTTCGATTACTGGCGCACTTACTCATCCGTGGAACATAACAAAGTTCAGAACGAAGAAATACATACGCGAATTGAATAAAAAGAAGGGTCCAGTCGAACGGAACGCGTTGACCCCTAGATCTTCTCTAGTTTCGTAAAGAAACCGGTGGACGACTATAAAAAAGAAGAGTAGAAGGATACGCGCCGCCGTTCTGAGACGGTCGTATCTAAAGCGGAGATTCACAGAAACCGTTTTTAAATTCGGCCCAAGGCTGACCTCTCGCCGACCCTGATTCCTCCTGGGATCATTAACGATAGTGCACCACGCGTCGCATCGTTCAAATTTATTGGCAGCCTAATCCACTTTCTGCGATCGGAGATCAAAGAGAATGGAAGATTCCTCGTGGGTGAATCGCGATACGTGCCTCTATGTTTCACCCGACGAGCGAGCAAGCCTTTGAAACACTCTGAACCCGCAAAGCTTTTAATGTCGTTCGTTCATTCAATAAAATGATGAAACGCAATTGAGGAAGTAACGAAATTTGTCGTATCCCCATTATTTGGTCAATAGCAATTTGCCTTTTACGATGTAACACAGTTAGCTAAGGGGTTCTAATCTGATTTAGCCAGAGACCGTGCAAGCATAGCTTCTGAGCACTTTGGAATGAAACGTCGTTACCCGATCAAAGTGTTTTCCTAAACGAATTTCCCAGTCGCGAAAGGATGTTCGTTGAACGCAGAACTGTGACCCGATTGGAAGGAAGCTCGCTGCATAATTGCGGTGACAACATCGTTAGTCATTGGACTTTTGAAAAAACTGCTTGTGGAAATCAATCCTTCTCCCACATTCCATAGCTCCTCATTACACAATTAATTGATTACAAAACGAATCGACGCGTATCTCACGCTCTACAAGAATTTATTTCCCATTTAATCCCCTTCTCTTAAACGCTTCTATTTATAACATAATTCGAACGTGCACTATAGAAGATGTATAGAAAGTCACGGAGGTGAAACTCGTTTCCCAGCTCGTAGAGGAAAAAATAACGCATCTACAAGATCTGTACGTATAAAAGGAACTGCGAGTTGTTTGCAAAGGGGAAGGGTTAAGCTGAGTTACGCGTGTATCAGCGCCGCGGGACGATAAACGCGTTGCATAACGATACATCGGTTTTCGAGTAATTGGGCGCATTGTGCGCGCGTTCGGCGCCGGACAAGTTAATTCCTAACCGCCTTTTGTCTGTCCGCTGATAAATTATTTCGCGTTTTAGCCACGCAGTTCCGGGCCGCTATCAGATCCGCCGAGGGATAAGTGAAAACAGACGCAGTCGTTTCTTTGAGTACGTTTCCTATTCAATTACCCCTTTGATTGCAAGCGGAGATTTAAAGCCGATGCACAGAAATTCTCACGACTTTACCTCATTTATAAAAAAGACTATAAACGTATAATAACATGCGAGGACACTAAAAGTGATAAGATTTCATTCTTACTCTAAATAAAAATCCATTCGTCGCTAGTGTTAAACTCTTGGAAAAAAGATTGAAGGAGCGAATCGTTGAAATCTGTCTGGTGCATTTTCTTTCGCGTCACTGCGGGTTGAAGTGCGGGCCTGAAAAAGCGCGTCTGAATGCGATATAAAACGAAAGGCACGCGAAAAAGAAACGGCAGACGGGCCACCAGTGCTGCTCGAGTGTCCATCGACGCAGCTGGCAGCCACGCGAAGCGTCGACGAGCGATAGCGATCCGATTAATATCGGCCCGCGAATTCTATGATACCGTATCGAAATATTATCAGGAATATTCTATCGAAAAATATCTATCAGAACTATTAGATGAACGGCGATGATTCGACATATTTGTATCCGTTTTAAAAAATCATACGAATTTACTCTATGAAAATTCTCTGTAGATTTGCATACACGGTCGCAGCAATTGTTTCTGTTAAGCGGCTCGAGATCAAAGGGCCCAGATGTCGCGACTGCGATTAAACTAGGCCTCCGCGTGTCGAGATGAGATGCAAATTCGTTTATTAACCTTATCTACGGGAGAAAATCTAGGGTAGGCCCACCCGCGACAGAAAAAAAATCACGAACACGGGAGATTTACGTTTTTTTTCAGCTTGTTCCTGGCACACAGGGAGCTCTATCGCGGCGGGGAATCTTTTCAGATAATTATTAGGCCGTCCCATAAATTCTGATTATTTTATTGATATTTCCAACCTGCTCTGTCTTCTACTGATTACCTACTCTCGTACGTGCTTGCTGTTCTTATCGCAACGCTCGCCGGATTATTTATGAAACGCGTCGTAAACCTTGCGAATGAAACTTGTGAAACAATTTTAGATAGAAAATTAAGATTCGTTTGTTGGTTTAGGATTTCGAAGACGAGGATGAAGAGGAGACTCCGGCGACCACGATGACCTCGAGCACTACTACCACTACTTCTACCACGACGACCACGACTACCACGCCGAAACCTGCGGTCACGCAGAATTACGACTATCGGGATCCGAGGGCTTACGAGGGTGGAACTGGGCCGCAGTACAACGGGTACCAGTCGAAAAACGAGTACCCGCCGATGTCGGCGCACAGCGTTCACAAGTGGCAGTCTCTGGGCACTCGAGAGAGCGTCAAAGAAACCAGAAGCAACATGCAGCAGTACAATAAGAACGGCAAGTGTAAGTTCGCTACGCGCTCGCGAGTCTTCGCAAAAAATAATCCTGATGAAAAACATCGAACTGCACCGTAATCGATTTATGCAAATATTTCCGAGGCACCCTCGATACACCTGTGGTCCTTTTTCCTGCCTCTAAGAACTCTATATCGTTATTAATCGCTATTAAATCGACGACGGTGGTCTCGTACCAATTATTAAACATCGACAAGAGAAAATAGACATGTCCCTAAGTACATCCCGTTAGAAATTAATAAGCGAAAACCGTAACGTATAAAACTTAGTCACCATCAAAGTAGCCAATCATGTCATTAAAATTAATTGGTCCGAAGATGAAATTAGATTCTTTTTTCACCGTTTCGATCTGTCCACTCGATCGTAATTGGACAGTTTCGTTAACGAAGGAAAATAAATACCAGGCGAAAAATCCTGGACAATCAGATCTAATCCCTTTCTCTTCTAATACATTCTGGAATACGTTTGAATACGGGATGTTCAGCGAGCGAACGTACGTACTTCAGCTTCCCTGACGGTCGTGCCTCTATTGTGAACGTGCCGATATGATCTCGTGTCAGTGCGGCCGCGCCAAGAGTAACGCCTACGTTCGGAATTAGCATACACGGCCGAGATCGCCGGCGAAGATCGAGGCCCAGAAAATAATACCGCAAGGAACGTTCCCAAAACTGTTTCGTATTCACACTTCCGCGCCACGCGTCACCGTTCCCAATTACAATCGTCCCGATCCGTGAATCAGCCCCCTCTTAAACGGCCCACGATTCCTTTGAGAGAACAGGCGGGCTCTTTTCGTGCATCGAGTGCAGCTTCCTCGAAACGTGGAGTGCTTGTAATTTCGCGAATCAAGAAGCTCTTCCCGTAATTATTCAACGGCTGTTTTATGTCTCTTGAGAGCGCATAGCTCTGGTTAATACTATTCGTGTAACTATCGTAGAAGATCAAACGATAGTTTAACGAACTGTAGACAATGTGCGCCAATACAACTCACTTGTCTCCGGGTTCACCGATCGCTGCAATAATTCTCGATTAAGCGAGGAGGTTCCGCGACGTCGAACTTGGCCCAATTAACCTCATCGACGCGATCCCGCGAACAACGCGATTATTCATAATCGTCTAGACTGAATATCAACCGGGAGCACGTTGCTACAGCGTTTCACTAAAAATACCTTAATAGCGAGCAGACTCGTGAATAGACTGCAACTTTGATGCACTTATAAGAAACGGGAAACATAAATTATGCACATAATCTATGAAATACCTAAAGCTAAGAATTACATAGTTAATCATTTTTTTAATAGATGCCATGAATGTTTTGTTCTGCATAAAAATCCGCCGTCTATCCATGAATCTCTGGACCGCAACGCAACCGTAAGTGCGACCTTCGAGATAGCTTCTTTATTTATGCGGCGATTAACAGACGTTTATATCTTAATATCGAATGAGGTAACGTCGAGGACGATTCAACGTGGCATTTCGATGTGCAGCCGTTCATCACCGAGAATTTATTGATTCCTAGGCACAATGTAGTTTCTCCCGTAGTCGTCCATACAAATTGCACCCGGCGATAGCCGCGGCATAATTATCGACGCTTCGCGAAACGCGTAGAAAGCGATTAGGTGTAACGCGTTGAATCAATAGAAAGCTCGCTTGACTTATGTCACAGTCGTTTCCAACATTCTTTACGTCAATATTAAATCCTCTCTATAAAAATTTAACCCCACGTCGCTTGATACTGGATGTAAGAATAATTAATACTATTATATCTGGGAATGTGGCTCGATCACACTAACTAAGCACCCAGTCAATCACCATGGTAATTCAAATCTCACCTACCAATTAGCGCACACCACGGATGTGCGGATCAATTATAGTCTTCTGTACATAGAAGACAAGGTCATGTTTCTCAAGATCAAGGCTCCTCAAGTCTCGTTTCCGATGCCATAGCACATCTGGAACTAATCCTAAGAAACCACGATCCCTAAAATACCTCATCGTTCTCAACCTCTCTATTCTCTCTACGTAACTTCATTTATAAAATCTCGATCTGAAACCTAACATTTTTCCCGTTAAACATTCTCAATTTTTTAACCTCATCTCACATTATATATCCTCGGATTATTTGTAATTTAATGGATCCTGTTTCAGCGGCGGAGATCCGAGAAGCGCTTCAGCACGCGATTAAAGTGTCGCGGGAGGGTAGCTGCCAGTGGCCGCGACCGAGAGTGATCCCGGTACGCGACGTCTACCCGAGCCCGTCCACCACCTACATTCCACACTGCGTGATCCTGCACAGGTGCTCGGACGACACCGGATGCTGCAGATCCGAAGCGCTCACGTGCGTCCCGAAGCACTCGCACCGCGTCGAGCTATCTTTTTACGTGAGTCAATCTTTATTCATTCCCCGCGCAAAATATCCGAATCTCTCGTTATAAATTCTACTAAATAAAATTATAGAAAAAAATGAGTGAGTAGAAACTGAGACCTTTCGATGATTCGACCAGAACATGATTTTTTTTTAATTACCATATTACTCTGCTATTTTATTTTATTATTATATAATTAATTTCAACCGATTGTACACGAAAGTGTATGAACCTATCTTTACGCGAATGACGTTCGTTGTCTCGTTACTTATCAGCAAACAAACCGTGCATTAGCTAGGCACACTAGGCATGCAAATCGACGTTTAGCTAGATTTCGAGACAAACGATCCCGCGAACGCAGGCTAGTAACAAGACAGATAAATCGCGCGGAACGATGGATGCTACGAGCCAACGAGGAAGACTTTATCGGCGAGGAGAAAGTACCATTAATCGTGCAAGTGTATTCGCGGGTGAATTTATTAGCGAGAAGTCGCGGAGTCATGATTTATGCGACGGACCGTTGCCGATATCGGAACCACCGATCTCTCAACGATTCCAGACTTTGTATATAAGAGTTTTCTGGCTCGTTGCGTACGCCCCGGTTAATGAACGGCGACGTTATCGGGTAACCGCGAATTCGATGACCGTTGAAACACGCCTCGCGAGTATGCGCGCGTTGCGGAGAAGTAAAAATGGTCCACGTAAATTTCTCTTTACCATTAACGTGACGGGAAACGAGTTGGAATGCCGACTGGGATTATTTTTCCCTGTCTGTCTATCGCTACGCAGCTACGCGAGCGCGTATGATCGGGTGTCAGAATTTATCGAGCTGTTTCGCTCCGCAGATCACTTTGTACTCGGTTACCAATCTGTCTCTCGAACGCAGGCCTCTTCAATTAAGCTTCTGATGATTTACTTCAGAGCTTGTACGGATAAAAATTATAATCATTATTGCCCGGGTTTAATGAATTATAAATAAGCGACCTAATATCGGGACCCTTCATAACCATAATTGGACGGACGACACGCGCCTTTCATGGTGGTCCACTATATTTATGCGCGAAATCAATCCCCGGCGAAATTGTCGGTTCTACCTGCACATTAGTCTCGATTGTCGTCGATGCGTGAACTTAAGCTCCCTTCACAATCTTCGAGTGACTTTACGAATCCGAGGAACGATCGACTTTATCGAAGGCGAGCCGCTCTCACGAAAAATATCGCCGACAAAGGGCCACTCACCGGACCTTCATTTCGCGAACCGGTAGTCGGAATTGTGCAACCGAGCGGTACATGCAGGAGGCTTAAGAGATGCTCTTGGGAACCCGATACTTTGCAACACCGATTACAGGCCCGCCGGTTACGCCTCTTAACCTTCCTGATCCAAGCTAACCCGATTTTCATTGCGGTTTCAAAATTTTCGTTACGTATTGTAGATTAAGAAATACGCAAATCGTTGTATCTACGCATAAGAAACATTAGGAGCCAGCGCAGGCGTGCAATCTGCATTAAGGATGTATTGGCAATACAGTCAATCCCAGAAATTTATGTACCTTAGAAAAACGCATTTCCGGTAATTAAAAATACTGCACTTTTCTTCTAATTTCGATATTTAATGAGTTACATATGATTATTTAGCATTTTATTGATGTTGACAAAATCCGACCATCCCACCGTCGAAACGGCGAACTTTTGGAAAAAAATTTCGTTTTTCCTCAATAACTCCTAAACCCTTGGAGATACGGAAAAATTGCATATGACCTTTCTTGTAGAGGATGACGAGATCTATAATTTCCATGTAAAAATTCTTCGCTAGCACTAATATTTAACGAGTTATTGACGAAAAACGAAAAAACAGTTTTTTGCAAATTACTCGTAAACTATTGAAGCTAGAGAAGAATTTTTACATGGAAATTGTAGATCTCGTCGTTCTCTACAAGAAAGATCTGATGCAATTTTTCCGTATGTCCAACGGTTTGGGAGTTATTGGCAAAAAACGAAAATTTGGAAGAAATTGAAGGGGTACCCCTTGGAAAAATCTCGGAAAAATCGAAAATTTTTTTTTGTTGTTTATTATTAGCAATGTTCTTCCGACATCTGATTTTTTTTTAAAAAATTCGTTTCTAAAGTGCATAAGCTTTTGGGATTGACTGTATAGCCAATGCATCCTTAAACAGCGTGTACAGCGAATCGTGCGTAACGCGTCGGATAGGTAATTAATATTAGTTTTTGCAGAGGCTGATCCGTGCAAGAGTATCTTAATTAATCGCTGGATCGAGCAACCCGGGCAAAACACCGTGGATGATTATAAATAGAAGAATTAATAACGATCCCTGATCCATGACTCAAACCACAGATTCTAACTATTATAAGTCAGACGATTAGTTTCGAGGAATCGAGGTTCCATTGAAGAAGTTCGATTGCGCAATCGAGTCCGCTTTCGCCATAGATTTTCATTGACGAGAGAGCCATTAAACTCCGCCAGTGATCTTAATGAATCAATTAATCCTGATGGATCTATCGCATTCCTACCAGATGCAATCCGCGCTTCGTGGATTAGATTGAACTACATTCCCTGATAATCTAACGCAATCGAAATTTCTACTACTTCTAGATAACCCGTTCCTCAATCAATTTAACCGGAAGGTTGTATGAGTTCTTAAATAAAAACAAGAAAACAAACATTGAAATATTAAACAATCTCTTGTTTAATATTTCCGTAGAGAGGAAACAAAAATGGGTGAAACATAAATTGCAATAAGCGGCCCGCGTAATTGCCGATGCAGAGGTGCAATAGCGCCGCGGGTGTAATTTGCATTTCGCCGCAATTACCGTTCGAGTCCTGCCGCGCAGTATTAGCATAAGTGTTGTGGGAATCGGTAGTAGGTTGTACAAACGATCGTATAAAATATTATCGAGCTTTCCGTAAAAAAAAAATCATCTCGAGCGACGTACATTAGAAATAATAATAAAATCAATCCTCTCATATAATAAGACACTAAATTATTAATCTCGAGTGAGAGAAATGTTTGAGAGACTTGAATTTTTTTAAAGTAGAGGATGAACGGCTGGACCTGTCTACGATATTTCGTCGTCGAATTTAGTACTTTACGATCCATATCGCGTATTTCTGTCCGCAGCGGGACTTAAAAGTGACGTGATAAACGAGCCAACGTTTCATAAGTCGCACGCGTAATCTTCGAGTGTCTCGCACAAAACGCGTGCAGCAGCGACGTTAAAGCGTCCCGTTTCTCCCTTGACGTCTGGCGAACTCGAACAGAGGGGCATTTACCGAGGAACAAACAAAAAGCTATGGATCCCACATCCAACTTTCCTATTTACGATCGCGTGATTATCATTTTGTAAAACGCGAAAACGTTAATTGCGCCTGCGGGCAACTGGTACGTACTTTCTAAATCGTTCTTTATCTCGGCGAGGATCGCCCGATATATATTGTACACCCACGCGAGAACCGCGGCCAATCAGCCGCGAGAACCGATTGTGATAAATGCGCGCCCGGATCCACTGGGGGTCACCGCTCTCGGGGAGAAGGCTATAAATTTAATGAGATACATTCCGTATCTCCGTTTTGTTAACACCGACGCCGACCCTGTGTCGTACCGCGGAATGCGAGCATTGCGCCCCTCGACCGAGCTTACATAACGTTATCAAGAGGTTACATCAATTATTATCAAAGAACACGAACAGAGATTATTATTAATGGGACAGGCTCTGCAAGATCGATGCATTTCGAACCATCTTAAAAATTCTATATTAAAGATGTTTGAGGCCTCTTTGAAAGACCCTGGCGAGACGACGTGCTCCAGTTATTGTCTATAATTATCGCGAGCAACCCCTTGCCACCTGGCAGATAGGGAGGCGCGCCTCTACCCCGTCGTGCCTGTCAAAACGATCATGAGCACGCGTAGCTTTTCCGGTCGCGGGCGTGAGTCAGTTTCACAGCCAAGCCGAAGTTGGCCGAGTATCAAATTCGCCTCGGTCGCGGATGTGCGGATTTCTTATTGGAAACCGGCCGCGCCGTGGTGCATACGTATGTATATGCGGATGCGACTCGTAGGCTCAAACACGAAACTTAGGGTTATATTAATACCGGGAGCCAGCGTGGCTTCCGCGATACCGAAATACGCTGATTTATAACCGCCCCCTGGTTTCCTCGGCTCTCGCCCCCGGGAATAACTGGGTTAACGTCTGTCGATCGTTAAAGGTTCCGAGAATCGTTGTTAACCCTTCGACTCTAAACTCGATTCTCAACAGTTCGAATAATTCCAGAATCTGTTAAATTATTTCTCCAAATCATTGACGATCATCGACACATTCATACTAAGCTCAAGCCTACCGATAGTTTTTATATACTAATGTGTTGTACATATTTACATTTCTTATATTTGCAATTTAGTACTGGCATTAGCATTTCGTTTTCTTTTTAGTTCTTAAAGAAGAATTTAGGAACAATCATGATAGATTTAGTGTTAATGTAGAATATGAATTTTTTCTGAACGAACTTTCTGAGAAACGCATCAAACATGAAACATCGTCTTCACTCGATTACAGTTCAAGGATCAGATAAATTTCCGAAGGTGTTAAAAGCACCCCATCGTCCTGGGAACTTTCTACGATTTCAACAGTTATTTACTCACTTTCCAAATATACGGTAGGCAAGGATAATGGGTTTTCCTTGGTTGACACGTGAAGAATCGTAGCCAGGGAACACGGCCCGCGATTTTCTATCCCGATTTCACCGCGAATCCCACTGCGAGAGAAAACGTTGCGTGTCGCGCGCACGTTTCCATTCTACTCCGCGATGACTGATGCCTGGATTTGTTAATCGCCGGGGAAATCGAACGGTGGATCTATCGAGCGGCTCAGCTTGATAAATATCAACATTTACTATGCTTAATGACCTTACAGAAATTTCTTAATGATTTTATAGAAATCTCCGTTTGTTTGGTAAATGTTGAAACTTTTGATCCTGCGATTATACAAAGTAAAACTAGGAA